GGCCCGCGGGGCCACATCGCAGTTCACGGGTGACGCCGGGTCGGGATGGCCCTCACTCATGCTTGTTTTCCTTTCTTCAGCATTTTTCTTGCTAGCCTCCGTCGAGGTGGTGGCGAAGGGACTTGCAGGGTCGTGCATTTTTTCCCGGCCAGGCAGGTGCCTTCGCCGCCTGGCCCAGTGACTGCCTGGGGGCCAGACTTGGCTAGGGAATCGAAGGAGAAAACGCCGGCTGGAGCATACCTGAGTGAACTAGGGCAGCCCGGGGAGGAGCGCAGCCCCGCGGTGCCGGGCCAAGTGGCATCGGGGTTCGCCCTGGCCCGCCCCGACTGGGCCACCTGGACGCGGCGGAGCCTCCATCCAGGTGGTGTCGCGGCTGGGCATACACGGGCAGCCCACGGCGGGGCGCCTCTCGGGAGGCCCTGGCAATCCGGGACAGTGGGCAGGGCGGGCCAGGGACAATCTGCAAGCCCGGAGGAGAAGCCAAGGTAGTACGAACCCTACGCTCACGACCTTAGTAGCAAAATTGAGCACATCAGTTTTCTCCCTCACTTCAGTTTCTTCCAAGGAACGAAACGAGGAAACAAACCCAGGCTTGTAAAATTTGTGGATAACATAGCACTCTTTCTAAAAGTTATCCAAACCTCGTTGAAAGTCAAGCATTTAAAAAGTCGAGGCCAGCTTGCGTTAACTGGGACACCTCTTTAAACGGGCCAATGGACTAACAGTTGATTACCCTTTACGGTTGTATCTAGGGCACCTCTTGAATTTTCAAATTTTGGAGTCTGAATCTTAGATCTTTTTCATCACATCTTTGCTTATACCTAGGAGAGGACCAAGTGCTGGCAAGAGAGGTCAAGGGTCAGAGTGTGGGTTTTGGGCTCCATGTTTGCCCAGTCCCCCTCTTCTGACGACAGTGTGTCTTAATTTTTGGTGCACTAAGCACCTGGCCTATAAATGGTGTCATTTCATAGAGGGCGCGGAGAGGACAAGGCTTGAAGATTTGTGAAATGGAGAAGCAGAGGAATGTTTGTCTAGCTGAGTACTTCCCTTTACTTAGTTCATGAGCAGCCCACTGTGTGGGATGCTCTTGTGCTGCTCTGGGAAAGACTTCAGGTTTCTCACCATCCAGCAAGGGAGACAGGTCCAGACAGGGAGGGGCAAAGCCGCAAATCAAATGCTTGATAGAGATTCAAGTCAGCTTCCACCAGGAGAGCCTGACTGTTGTCCAGAGTTTGTCTGTGATGAACTCAAAATGAGAGGGTCTCCCCCACCCCCACCCCGCTGTATTCCAAAATCAGGCAGGTCTCCTTTTGTCATTATACCTGTGGCTTTGGCCTTGGTGACAGTTTGCTTTATTAGAGCCTTCTGTTGACTGTGGAAGGATGGCATCTTTTCGGCAGCTGGACACTTTACCTTTGGGCATTTAGCCAGGAAGCAAATAACATGGCTGTGCCTGTTGAGCAACCCTGAGTTACCACATTCACCAATGGGCTGCTCTTAATGGGGCCACTTTCGAATGCTGTAAAATCAAAACTGATGTGACACAGAGGGCAGCTCCATATGGGCGGTAATTTTCTGAAAATGTAGAGTTCTAATTTGGCAGATCTTCAGCAATGTATTTTAAAGGTTTAAAACTTAGAATGAGTTTATCTGTGAACATAATGGATACTAACATGATGTGCATTCTAACCGGTTCTAGGCTTTTCTTTGAGGAGAAGCAAGTAGAGATGGTTAAGAGGGGTTAGAAATAAAATGTAAGGAGGCAGTAATGAAGTATCACCTTTCTTTTATTGCGTTGCTGACTTTCTAATTAGGTGGTAGGCACTTAAACATAATGTCTCCATGGTCATTTAAGGTACTCTGAAATGTTTATAAGTTGCCCACCCTCAGAAATATAAGGTTTTGTTTCACTGGGAATTATAATTCATCTTCCTACTTACACGCACACACACACACACACACACACACATGCCCCATACACATCTTCAGTGTATTTTTCTCCATAACTCACTTTTTAATATGTAATATACTTATTTATTTTGTTCATTGTTTCTCCTACTTAATTGTCTCTTCTATGAAGAAGGGTATTTTTAATCTATGGTGGTGCCTCGCATATAGTATATACTTAGTAAGTAAACATTTGTAGGATAAATAGATGGATGAATATGTGCATGAATGATGAAACCCATTTTTTTGAAAGCTGAGTGAGAGCGGAGGCCCAGCTTTTCTGACTGAGGCTGAGCTGATTACATGGACCTGGAACATCCCCTCTCTCTCCTCAGCTTCCTGTTTACCTGGTAGTGTGACTGCTGTGGAAAGCTGGAGGGAGTGGGTAGGAAACAGACCTCCTCCTCCTCCTGTGTTTTTGTAGCTTCCTCTTTTGAGATGGAAGGATCATGGCACCAACTTCTCAGGTGGCCTCCTGTCTGGTGAAGGAAACCCTGGACTCGGGAGCCGTAGTGGGAGGCAGCTACCTTTTCTCCAGTTAGAATGATGTTTCCAGAGCTTCCTTGGTAGAAGTGATTTTGCTGCCCTAGAAGGGAGGAAGTAAAGTTATACAGTGTTCACTTGGATACAGCCCATGGGAATATTTCTTATAAAAGTTTGGTCAGATGTGAGAGAACAATGAAGGAAAGATGTTAGCATTTGGGAGGCAGTGGACAGAACACACAGCACTGCTGCCTCCCCTCCCCTTCTCTTAAGCACTCAAAATGAGCAGCATAAACTTCAAAGATCCAATATCACTACCCAGATGTGCCTCTCTGAAGGATGGTGGTTTGTTTTTTTTTTTTCTGGTGTTTTATTATATACATTCCTGTGTAATCTTGTAATTCTTTTCCCAAAGAGACTGGCAATTAAAAAATTGTACTTTGAATAAAATGTTGATGCTTCCTGAATGTTTGCCTTCAGCCTTTGTTCCTGTCATTGTGTTTGTTGTAGTGATGGGCTAACCAATTTTTTAATAGTTAGAGTCAAGAGAGGAAGTAAAGGATGGCCCAAAATATGAGCTTTGGAGTCAAGATCAGTCCGTTGTTTGGAAATCTGGGCTGCGAGGCCTTGGGCTGGTTTATTCAGCTTCTTCAAGCCTTAGTTATAACTCAATCTTAAGAGAGGGGAAATAATGAATCTTACTTTGAGGTTTGGAAACTGTTTTCCACCTGGCTGTACCATTTTATGTTCCCAGCAGCTAGGCACAAGGGTTCCAGTTAAAATAAGGGTTAGAATTACACAACATACATTAAAGATTTAGTCATGCTGGCCATTTAGTAGGTTTGAAAAAAAAACTAAAGGTAACGTTTAAAAAATTGAATAACAAGAAGGTTTCTTAGAACAAAAGTAAAGAAGTTTGTGTTGTAGTGAAGGATATAAGAAACATTCATTTCTGTATTAGAAAGTGCAGTATATAATAAGTGTAATTAGGAAATTAAATATTTAAATAGCAATTTGTGCTAAGTCTTGCCCAAAGGAAAGGCATTTTGCAGGATTTGCCTACAGGGCTTCTTTGACCATGTTAAATCCTGATTAAGAAAGGGAACTTTACTTTTGTGTCACATGCATTGAACATGAGTAGCTGTGCCCAGTGTAAATCATCTACCACCTTTTGAACAGTGCCCCCAAGGCTGGGGAGGGGAAACTGACATTAGGGATTGATGTGGAGTCCCTAAGCTTGCTCAGAAGGACTCTGTCCAATGGTTGGAAATGGGTGCAGCTCAATGTGGGTGTTGCTTTTCTTGGCTAGCCCATCTCACATTGGCTGAACTCCTGCTCAGGTAGCTGAATTTGTTGGTGGATTTTGTCTCCACTACCGAAGAAAATCTTTAGCTCAACAGGGCAGTCGTTGCATTGTGTAGACATCCCAGATATTGGCTCAGGTCTTACGTGCTTTGGTCTTGTCTTCCAAAAGCACAGGAAGAAAGAAACCACAAATAGAGGAAATACTTTGATTTCAGGAGTATAAATCAGAAGGTTTATTTAAGTAAAATAACATACATTTTGAAGGACTGATAAACCATTAATAAGAGCTTTGAGGTTTCCAACGGTTGCATTTAATGAGAGTATAATAAGGGCAATGTGTTTGTCATTAGATAACTAGACACAGCATGGACTGTCTCTCCAAGAAATAATATGAGGTACAAATGTGTGGATGGTGGGTCGTGAAGGCTTAGCCATTTCAGCTTAATTGAGACTCTTTAGGAAGAGCTGAAAATGATTGAGAGGCTTGTAGCTTTTAAAAAATTCATTTACTAGCTCCGAAGGAGTAGGATTTTATGATCTCGACTCTACATTTTGGCAGTATGGATAAAGGAGTTTATTTAAAATGCAAGGAGTAAATCTGATAATATTTTCAGCCTAGATTTTTCCCTGTAATTTTTAAAATTTGGATTAACTGTATTAAAAGCAGCCCTGTGCATATTGTAACCGTTCCCTGGGTGTTGCTTGAGCTCTTCCTCACCGTGTCTCAGGCTACTTTTCTCTCCTCTCGCATCTTCCCTTTGGGCACAGGACCCTCTAGCGTGTCAGGCACTTTCCTCTCCCAGGACCTCCACTGGCTGTCTCCTCTGCCTAGGGCACCCCCACCTCCCCTTGATCTTCTCCTGCTGCCCTCTACTTTCTCTTTATAGCACTCACCACTGTTTGTAACCCTTTGTGGCTTTATCTGTACTGAGCAAACCAGAACATGAGTTCCAGAAGGGAGGAAGTCCGCATCCTTCCCCACTGTTCCTCCAGTGCTGGAACACATTCTGTCACTGGAACACTCTTGATAAATATTTAGTGACTACATGGATGTCCAAGTAGAATTTATAGGTATGAGCCTTTGAGGCTGAGAAATGTTTCACATTGTCCTGGAAATGGAAATCATGCAGAAAACAGGAACGAATATTAAAGAGCAGTATTAGTGCTGTTTCTCACACCTGCCCTGTGTGCCTGTATGGACCAGTGGTTTGTCAGCTGCACCTGGCCAGTTAGAGTCACCCCCTGGTAACCGTTATGTATATGGTCCTGTACAGACCCCGAAGGATTCCCCTAGGTTTTCACTGGCGAATGAATCTGAGTCATTAATATTCTTGAATATTTGGTGGGTCTGTTCTACCAGATTTTATTTGCTTCTTTTTTTTTTTTTGACTTAACATAAAAGGAAAGAAAAATCCACAACAAAATAAACAGCCCCTAATAAGATCTCCTTAGGAAAAGGTACTGTATTTTGTGATTGGTTTTATTCTAAATAAATAAATAGCTACTAGTAGACATGGGTGTTCAAAAATAATAAATAAGATGGCAGTTTGCCCAAAGTTTTTAAATATGTACAAAGGAGTATATAATGTAATATAAACAGTAAATAATAAAATGAACATCATATACCCACCACCTGGTACAAAACTGGAATACTTCCTATGCCTGAGAGACCACTTGTGTGTTTCCCTGGTTACATCCACTCTGTCCCTTGTCACAGTACTATCCTGAATTATGTGTTAATATTCCCTTGCTTTTATTTGTAGTTTTAACATATTTATATGTATCCCTCATGAATATATTGTTTTGTTTTGTATGTTTTTATAACTTGATACAAGGAGAATCTTACTTTATTTTTCCAAAGCTTGTTTTTCCACTACCCCTCAGTTATATTTTACATATATTTATGTGTGTGTATATATGTATGATATGTGTGTATATGTGTGTGTATACAGTTGTCCCTCAGTGTCTGGGGGGGATTGGTTCCCAGACCCTCCACCCATACCAAAGTCCTTTACATAAAATAGTGTACTATTTCCATATAACCTCCATACATCCTCCCATATACTTCTAATATTAAACATTGAAAAAATGTGAACTCTACATACATTTAAGAAAGATGAATCAAAACA